ATGGCCAGAAGAAGGCAGGGACGGGGAAGGAGCTGCCTCTGTGCTGGCCAGGGAGAAGGGGAGCTCCCAGCAAGCTTTCCTCCAGGTTCCCTTTGCTTTCCCCTGCGCCCGTTGCTCCTTACATGGGTTCTCCCTTCCCTCTCAATACGAGGCCTTATTCCAACCCGAGGGGACTGAGGCTGCCCGCAGCATCTCTTTGCACTGAAGCACCCATCCCACGCTGCCTGCGGGGAGCCCCGGGGCGGTGCTGCAGAGCTGGCCTCTGCTCGGGGATGGAGCTACCACCCCCAGCACATCCACGCTCTCACCCCCCCCGCGCCAGCGTGCCGGCGCTCTGCCTTGTACCCTCACTGCCCAGGGGCCTGGCCACGGTAGGGAAATCTGCTTTCATGGGGTTAAACCTTTTTACTTCATTAATTACTCCACGAAAACCGATGGCTTTGCAGGGGCGCTACATGGTTGCTTCCTCTCCTCTTGCCTTTCCGTAGGAGTGGGGGCAGCTGATCTGCTCTTTTTTGCCTCTGTAACCCTCTCCAAAACTTTTTTGGAGGTTTTTAACATCATCCGGTGAGATGTAATCTCCGCGGAGCCAGAGGGAACACAGGCACTGGAGCCAGGCAGCCTGCTTGCCACTGTGGCGAGTTGCTTGCGAGGTGCATGGGCTGCCTTGGGTGGAAGGTGGGACGCTGTCCCGGCAGCGCCGGTGGGATGCCGGCTGCTCGTCTGTAGTCAGGAGAGGATTCTGCTATACTTTTTTCCTGTCTGTAGGTTTTATTCAGACAATATGTAATGATTGAGTGATTTACAATTCAGTGTTAAGCTAATGAAAATGTTGATAATGGTGATAATAAAACCTTTTTTTTTTCCTGTGGTGTGTTGGAGGTTTTTTGTGGAGTGTCTCTGCTGTCTCTGTTGCCACCATCATTATCTTCAACCTGAGATTTCAGCTGGTCCATCCCTTCTCCTTGTGCCTATAGGGAATGACAGCAGCTCAGGCTGGTGTATCCCAGCACTGTCCCAGGCTCCTTCCCAGTGCTCTCCCTGGAAGGGCCCTCTCTGAATCAACCCCAGCTTCAAACCTGCATTTCCCTGTGCCATTTCCAGATGTAATTTGGCCATGGGCATCTCCAGGCACAGAGCTAAGCTTTCTCCTAGCTTATACTCTGCTCACTACCCCAATCAAAAGCCTTCTGCTTCTGCTGTTTTCTTCCCAAGACTTTTCATGGTCAACACTGGCCATTCAAGGTTGATTTTGAAACCCTGGAGGTAAAGATGCTGCTGGCAGAAAAAAGTGCCCCGGCCCAGGCTGTTGGGAATACCAAGAGTCATTGTAGATGCAGGGTGAGCCTCGGGACTGTTGGGGAAAGAGACCCATGGGTGTTACTGGGTGTGCAGCTACTGCGGGGTCCTGGATGGCCTCAAGCTGCGAGCCCTCAGGTGGGGAGCGTTTGGGGGCTCTGGTGTGACCGCTGCTGCAGGGTTCTGCAGGAGGAGATGACAAGAACATGCAGCATTCCCCAGGGAGCTGCTGCAAGCCCTTTTCCCATGGGAATTACAAGGGATTGCGAAGTCCCAGTTCACTAAGAGTTTCTTAAAGGATTTTGTCATGCTTCCAAATCCCTCTGCAGGTCATCAGGGCAGGACCGAGGGGCAGGGCAGCTCCCCACCCAGCCACCCACATACCCCAGCTACAGCCCCTGGGGGAGCAGTGGTGGAGGAAGGAGGAGGAGGAGGATTTCTCCAGCAGTGCGAGTGTCTGGTAGGTTGGGGCAGCCCAGCCCAGCATGGCACCTGGGGGTGAACAGCACCTCCCACCCTCAGACCATCACCAGCTTCCAAAAGCAGGATGGGGCTCAGACAGTCACTAGGCAACTAAGCTCCCCAGCAGCGCTGCCTAGCAGCTTGGACTGCACAAAAGCAGCAGTAAACCCAAGCAGGTGCCCTGCTTTCTGTGCCGTCAGCTCATTACCAGCTCCATCCTCCGCCGGAGACAGGCTCTGCAGATGCCACGCCGCCAGTCCCAGTGCCTCTGCCGGGCTTTGCCTTTGCATTGTTGCATAGCAGGCTCTGCGGCACGAGCACGGAGCGACCAAGCGCTGGCAGCACTGCACTGAATCCAGAGGGAGAGCACAAGGCTGGCTCAGCCTCCGGATTGTGGTTGCTCTCCCACTTCCAGCTCCAGAAGAGGTGCATTTCACTGGGGTGATGCCATGCGGGCTCTGACATGTGCAGGAATTGAAGAGCTGCTTCCTTCCACGAGGGTGGATGGAGGGTGAGAGGGGCCAGCTTCATCCTGGTCACTTGGAGGGTGACCCAGGTTCAAGACGGAAAGGGCAAGAGATGTCCATCTGCTGCACAGCTCTGATGACAAGGACACCACAGCACACCCAAGCCTCAGGCTGACAGCCTTGGTGAGGGTGGTGGGAGGTGGGACACGGCAACAAAGGGGCTGAGATGGTGGGATCAGCATGAAATGACACCACTAAGGAGCTGAGAAACCAATGAAAGCGTCATTTTTAAGCCTGTTTTACACGCTTACAGCTTGCTTTCTCCCCCCCTCCCCCTTTCTATTTAAACCAAGGCTCACACAGCTGGTCCAGATTTGGGGCCACTGGTGCAAAGTGATGCAGCTGCTGAGCGCCAGGGACAGGGGGGAACAGCAGCCAGGGCATTTTGGTGGTGGGAAGCTCTCCATCCACCTGCCCTCCTGCCTGCTAGATGCCACACACCCTTGAAGGGCCCTGGGGAGTGTTCAGGCGAAGGTCTCGCAAACCAGACCCTCATGCCAGCCCACCAGCGCCTGCAACATCCTCTCTGCCTGCATGCCCCAAGCTGTGCAGCCCAGGGCTGTGCTCCTGGCTCCATCGCTGTCCCTTCCCTGCCTGCACATGGGATGAGGGGACAGACTGAGGCCAGGAAGGGACGAGCATCCTGCATGAGAGTCCTGCTGCCCAGGGGCAGGAAGGATGGACCTACTGTGGCCACGTTTCATGCCGAGAGTGGGTGTAAAGTTCTACCTCTGCCTCCAGTGGAGGCAGCTGTGCCAGAGAGCATCCCCCAAATAAAGGTACCAGGTGAGGAACCCCCCTCACCTACCCAAGCAGCACAGCAGCCCCACTGCAGACCTGCCCTGCCGGCCCTGGCAATTAGAGTGCCTGCTCATCCCTGTACTTGCCTGCTTGTGTCTTGAAGCCCAAATCCCTGCCATTTTAGAGACTGGAACAAGAAAGACCCAGTTGTAACAAGCCTCCAAAGATTTGGGGTGACATCAAAGCCCAAAGCTGCCTCCAGGAAAGCCCACGCACCAGGAAAAGGTTGGAAACGTGAAGGTCACTGGCCAGGGAGGGTGGAGGAGCCCAGGGCATCCCCATGCAGGGAGCAAAGACACCATCCCATGATGGGCAACGAGACCCAGATGCTTCCCAGCTCTGCCACAGCCACTCTTCCCTTCTCCTCCCTCTGATGCCCAAACATCCCAGCAAACATCCACAGGGATATCCCTGGGTATAATCATTACCCACACCCCCGTGGCAGGGGAGCCAGCCCTGGCATACCCCTGCAGCCGGGCAGGGCTGGGGTTCAGACACATCCCTCTTCTCCCCCTCGTGACAAATAACCAACCACCACCAGCTGGATTCACCTTTTATTAAACTGCCCAGAACAAAAAGGGGAGAGAGCAAAGCCTGCCCTGAGGCCTTCCCAACACTGGCACTCTACACGCCTTCCCCACCAGGAGAAGGGGATTTTCCTCCAGCAAAACCCCCTCAGAGGGTATTTTAGGTAGAACTAAGAGTGGAAATGTCCATTTATTGGGGGGAAAAAAGTGAAACAGAGCTGCTGCCACTGTCAGAGCCCAGTCCTGCTTTCTTGCAGACACGCAGGATGGATGCCAGCCGCATCAGGGGGCACCAGCTGGAAACAGCCTTCCAAGTGGGGCTGTGTGGGTACTGCATCCCGCATGGGGACACACACCGAGATGGGATCACCCTGTCTCTGATGACCCCATCAGCAAAGAGTGCAAACCATGGGCTCGTGGGGACTGGGAGGAGGCAAGGAACAGGCATTCTTGCTGGGCTGCCAGCTGGAGGAAAGGTGGTGAAGGAATTTTAGCTAATGATCTCATCAGGGCCAAACCCTTTGCAGGTGGCTCTATATGGTTCAGGGAGGCTTTCCCTGGGGCTGCGCCCTTAGCACAGTCCGGGCTTATCACAGAGGAGGGCTATGGCTGGGCTGGAGGAGTTCAGCTCACCCTGCAAATGGGACACAGCATCCCACCAGCCAGCTCAGTCTGGAGGACTTACCAGTAGCGAGGTAAGGTGTGCTGGTGGGTAAGGGGGTGAGTATATGGACCTCCAGCTTCCAAAAGTCAGCCACAAGCCTGAGCTTAGACCTGGAGGGCTGGTCATGGGAGATGCAGTACCATGAAGCTGTCCCCATGTGCTGAGTGGCAGGACTGCAGCCCGTCCCCTCCTGCCCACCTCTCCCTGCCCACCCACCAACTGCCAACCTGCTGCGTGGCACCGACTTACCTGCACCTGGGGTCAGGGGATGACTTAAAGTTCACCCACCCTGCAAGGCTCACTAACGTGGGCTTTGCTTTTGATATGATCTCAGCAAGTGCAATCCAGCCCATGTAGTGAGAGGCATGTGCTGGCAGCGGCCACAGCCAAGGTTAGGCAGCATGGGAGGGCAGCGATGCCTCCGTTTGGGGAGCAGGGAGGTGGGAAAGCAAACCTACAGCTTGCTGGACCCAAATGCTTGAACCTACTTGGGAGGAAAAAGCAAAGAAAAACTAACAATGTCATTCAGGGCCTGCAAAAAGGAATGATTATTTCTCAACAGGGCTTAAAGGCTCCTGCTGTATCCTGCGTGGAGCTGGCTGCCAGCTGAAAGGGGAGAGGAACAGAAGAAATGAGAGCAATAAGAAGGACCTGACATCTCTGTTCTTAATTTATCATTGTAGTAAGACTCGAGCACCGAGTACAGCTCGGCACGCGCTCCTAGATGGATTTCCTCCGCAGCCGGGGGTGTTGCCGGCAGCGAGGGCTGTTGGATGATAAAGTGCTCCCTGGGGAAGAGCCGGTCTGACCCCGCGTGCTCAGGGAGACCTCGTCGATTTTGTAGGAAATGGAGTTGTAATACACGGGGTTGGTGTGGCAGCTTAGGGTCTCGGGGTGGGAGGGCACTGGGCTGCCGCACAGCTGAGGTCTGTAGCACAAGCACGTGCAGAAGGAGGGGACTGCGGCTGCCGAGTTGGCCGACTGGCGCCGCTGCCTCTCCGCATCCTCCTGGATCAGCGGGATGAGGTTCATCTGGCTCGTCCTGTCCTCCACGGGGAGAAAAATGGCATTGCTGCTCCGGCTGTCCTCTTTCGGCTTGAGGTGGATGTTGTTCCGGGCTCTCCTCAGCGAGGCTCGCTCTTCAGCATCCCGCCGCTCGTCCTCAGAGTTCATCGTCAGGAACCGCAGCACCACCAGGTTGAGGAAGGCGCCGATGACGGTCAGGCCCACCAGGATGTACATGAAGCTGAAAGCCACATATGGGGGCTTCTTTTGCAAAGCCTCGTTCTTCTGCAGAGCAACAAAGTCTCCAAAGCCAATAGTGGTCAAAGTTATGAAGCAGTAGTAATAGGCATGAAAGAAAGTCCAGCCCTCGAAATAAGAGAAGGCTGCTGCGCCGATGCACAGGGTCCCCATGCAGGACAGAAAGCCGACTAGGACCATGTTCTCCATGGAGACATTGGTTGTCCTCATGCCCAGACACTTCTTGATTTTCTTGAGCAGTAGCCGCACAACGGTGTTCATGCGCTCCCCCAGGCTCTGGAACATGACCAGCGTCAGGGGGATGCCCAGGATGGCGTAGAACATGCAGAAAACTTTGCCAGCATCCGTGCCCGGGGCAGCGTGCCCGTAGCCTGCGAAGGAAAGAGGAAAAGCAGGTGTCAAGCCCTCACTGGGGTTTCCAGCAAGGCTGCCCTCGGACCAAGAGGAGCAGTAGGAGAATGGGGGGAAAATGGAAAATTAATTAGTAACAGATCTGCAGGCAATGCTAACAGGGCCGTGGGATACCACATCCTTTGGGATGATGGCACGTCGCAGTATCAAGTGGGCAGAACCTCCTTTGGCCTCTAGAGAGAGAAGGTACGTTCCTGATAGCCCCTGAGCTATGGTCATGGAGGCCAAGAGGAGCCCTAGAGCTGGACTGGGGTCTACAAGCCTTTTGCAGCTCACGAGCAATTTAGAGGCAATGATGCCATGCCAGCGCCGGGTCTGCAGGGTAACCTGAATCCCCACAGCGAGGGAGGACGGAGGCTCCGCAGGACGCTGAGACCAACAGCGCCAGGTCACCCCGTGGGAAGGTACGCACCCAGCCAGTCCCGTCCACAACTGCCCTCGCAGGGCCACCGTCACCTCCCGCTGGCACCCGCTCCTGCCCCTCCTGTCCCCTGAGCCCTCCAGCGTCACGTGCATCTTTGACTCTCGGCTATACGATCATTTGCTGCGTGGCCTGTCGGATAGGAGCTATAGGGTCCCCACGCTATAGGGTCAGTCCCTGCAGAGGCAGCTAAGCCTGGGAGGGCTTCTGCAGAGCAGCTTCAGGTTTACTCCAGTGTCACTAAGACTCAGACCTAAAGCACTGCTGGATCATTGGGGAGGAGGAGTTGTGCTGTTTTAAATGCAGGGAAGTATTTATGCCACTGCAGCCCTGTCAGCCCTTGTCCCAGGGACAAGGAGCTCAAGGAGGACAAGGTTCTCAAGGAGGACAAGGTTCTCCTTGAGCACCTTCTGAGATTTAATTTCCCCACCTTGCTCCAAGTTTCAGAGCTGTGACTCAAGGATGCACACAATTATATCATGAGTCGTAATGAGGTATTCACCGCAATCTTCCGGACTTCAGTGATTCTGCACCCATCTCAATTATATAAGCTTAACAGATATCGGTGGCCCCTGACCTCAGCGGATGAGTAACTAACTCAGTGCAAGGGAGTGACGCGGCATGGGGAGTAACAGCATCCAAAGGCATCCAAGCCTTTCTCTTGAGTTTCTATGAGAAACTGCCAGGACTGGAAACTTCCTTTCTGAAGGCACCTGCAGAACAGCCCCAGCGCCTTCCCGCACTGCTGTGTGGCCTTTTGCAAACAGCTATCTATATTTTCACTTTTTCCAGGTAACCACACGGCTTTTGCATGAAGATATGGGGGAACCCCCCCCCCCCTTTTTATTTCTCAGTCTTGTTCAAAGCTGTGACTTGGCTTCACCTCTGTCTGTGCTGCCAGTGGATTTCCAGGACGCTTAGGGAAGCTGTTAGCACACAGTGATGGGAAGACCAGAGGATGACAACCATGTTGTCCCAGGCTCCTGAGCACACCTCCCACTCCAGGAAACTCCTGCAATGGGACAGGGCTGGGAGGCTGAGGACAGCGTTATCCTTGACCGTGCCGTGCTCCAAACTGCAAGCAGGCAGGAAGGGACCAGCTTCTAATTGCTCTGTCTGTTCATAAACCCATGCAACCAAAAATGATAAACTTAATGCCTGCATGCCACATTTCACAGAATACAGAGCAGACATGAGACTGCAGTGGCAAAAAAAACCCCACTCAGATCCAAGCTTAATAACCGAGTGTAATTATCAGGTCCTAGGCTACAAGATAATGACAATGACAGCAACGAGGAGGTAAATATAATGATCCAGAAGAGCAGCAAGTGGAAAAACAGTTGTTGTACCCTGAGAGACTGCTGAAAGAGCATTTGACTGATGCTTTCAAAATGACAAAGGGAATTAGAAAGAGTAAACACAGCTACATTAACATTAAAACTGAGATTTGGAGCACAGCCCAATATAAAGAGATCTGACATGCCAGCGTTTTAGAAATATGGCACCTGGGCTGAAATTATTTATCGCACGGGGTGTGTGGTAAGTGTAGCAATTGTTTGTCACAGTCAACAGAAAAATAATGTAAATGAAGCTATAACCTGTCACGAGATGATGGAGATTTTCACTGAAGCCATTCATCCTGCCCTCCTGCTGGGGCCTGACACTAACCGTGCCCTGAACCCATCGCTGTTTGCTGGCCACGTGCGTTGCCAGCTGCACAAACCCCACACCACATCTCGAGGGGGCACACGGAGCCCCCCCGGGCAGGGCTGCCGGGTACCTGCCCCTCCGCCACCTCTTGTCCCCCGGTAACGCAGCGCGGTTGATCCCACGAGCCCTTGTCCTGTGGGATGATGCTTTCGGCTACCAGATGTATTTCACCCATCCCAAGCCCCTTGGTACAGCTGAGCCCCGTCCTACAGAGAAGGAAGCGGCTGCTGGATGTGGAAGGGCAGGATTTGGCCTTGGGGTTCCTGCCTCCAAAACACATCTGCTGAGTGAAATCCCAGCATGAGCACAGGATCCCATGCCTGTCTACCCCCCTGGGATGCTCAGGGTGCATGGATTAATAAAAGTGGATTAATTAAACAATGCTCAACTCCCATGTGGCTAATCTCACCTAGAATTAAGGCAATCCTCGTTCAGTTTAGCTTCATTCTCTTGCAAAATCGAAGTGGGCAAACCAAGCCATCGGGCTCTAGTAGGGGTAAGTGTGTCTACACGGGGGTTTAATGCGATTCAGTCACTCTCCTCAGAGCTAACTGACACCCATCTCTCTGCAGGTTCCCGTGCAGGCAGAGCGAGGTTCAGTGTCTGGCGGCTCTCTGGGCTCCCCGAAGCAGGTCTCGTACCGCCCAACATCCCGAGTTTTGAGCTGCAAAGGAGCCAACAGTTCTCGCCCAGCTCTTCAGCCTGGCTCGCTGGCCACGACGCTGCGCAGGGGACGGACGCGGCTCCCACCTCTGCCCCCCGACACCCCCGCCAGCTTCTGCAGCCGCCTGCCCCAAAGGCGCCTGCGGAAGCTCCGCGTGCTGCCGCCTCCCTGGGACGACGAGCCCCTCACGCTTCGTGGCCCCCAGCCACAGCGGCACCCCCGGCGTCCCCCAGAACCGGCTGGCCCCCCGCCCTGCCCGTGGCTTACCTCTCCCACCGTGGGGCGCCGGGGATCCCACAGCGTCAGCTCGGGGGGTGGCCCGAAGGGATGTCCCGGTCTCGCAGGGGTGAGACCTGCCTCCCCTATGCAGGCAACCCCCACCCCCCAGCCCGGGGCTGTCCTGGGGCACCCAGAGGTGGCGGAGGCGTGGGGGTGGAGGGATCCGGGGGTGCGGGGACGTGGAGAGGGGCCGGGAGAGGGGCCGGGAGAGGGGGCCGGAGGGGCGCGGGGGGCCGGCACTCACCGATGGTGGTGATGACCGTGATGGCGAAGTAGAAGGAACCGGCGAACTTCCACTGCCGCCCGGCGCGGTGCGGCTCGGCCTGCAGCACCAGCCGCTCCAGCTCCCGGTAGTCTTCGGCGGAGAAGCGGTACTTCCTCCGCAGCTCCCCCCGCTTCTGCTCCAGCAGCCGCTTGCGGCCGCTCTCCGCCTCCGACTCCAGCGCATCGAAGACGGCGGCGCCCACCAGCAGGTACGAGAAGATGCAGAGGATGAGCGCGGCCGTGCGCAGGTTCTGCCGCTTCATGGCGAGGGGCGGCCGCCGCGCCTCAGCCCGGGCTCCGCATGGCCCCG